ATAAAGAGGTGCACGGAGACACACGGAGAGACACGGGGAGATAGGGACAACACGGGGAGACACAAGGAGACATTTGGAGACACGGGAGAGACACAGGGAGACACGGGGAGACACAGGGAGACACGGCGAGACACGGAAACACACGGAGAGACACAGGGAGATGTGGACACCACGGAGAGACACGGGGAAACACAAGGAGACATGGGGATACACAGGGAGATGGGGACAACACGGGGAGACACGGAGACACACGGAGAGACACGGGGAGATGGGGAGACACACGGGGAGACACGGAGAGACACGGGGAGATGGGGAGACACACGGGGAGACACGGAGAGACACGGGGAGATGGGGAGACACACAGGGAGATGGGGACACACGGAAGAGACACGGGGAGACACGGGGACACACGGGGGAGACACGGCGAGGAATGGAGACACGTGGGGACACGGTGGGACGCAGCAATGTGATGACGGCGACGTGACCAGGTGAAACCAAGGCCGTCACTCACAACAGACGGTGAATCTCGGTGGGGAGGGGGGGGTCTCACCTGGTTAAATAAAGGACACGACAACGTACGAAGGTAATGTCACGACCTCAAGTGCCCTGTTGTGGCTTTTCAAAGTTCACTTTCAACAAAGATACAAAGATCCCCCGCGTAGCCTCTAACAGACTGTAGGGGCAAGTGCTGTTAGCGAGTAGTAGCAGCACCTATACACAGACAAAGATCCCCCGTGTAGCCTCAACAGACTGTAGGGGCAAGTGCTGTTAGCGAGTAGTAGCAGCACCTATACACAGACAAAGACCCCCCGTGTAGCCTCTAACAGGCTGTAGGGGCAAGTGCTGTTAGCGAGTAGTAGCAGCACCTATACACAGACAAAGATCCCCCGTGTAGCCTCAACAGACTGTAGGGGCAAGTGCTGTTAGCGAGTAGTAGCAGCACCTATACACAGACAAAGACCCCCCGTGTAGCCTCTAACAGGCTGTAGGGGCAAGTGCTGTTAGCGAGTAGCAGCAGCACCTATACACAGACAAAGATCCCCCGTGTAGCCTCAACAGACTGTAGGGGCAAGTGCTGTTAGCTAGTAGCTCCTATGAAGGCTACCGGCGCTGTGGCTACACGAGGGGGTGGGTGACTACCAGCACCACGCCCGGCCGCCTTTGTCTCTCCCTACTACCGCACCGGGATATACTCATTTTGAGGCTGAGTCGACCTAGGGGTAGGAGGCTCAGGACCGGTTCAGACAATCGTCGCAGTGCGGACCTAACCACTGCGCCACCGCTCCGCGCAAAGACAAAGGCCCCCCGGATAGCCTCTAACAGGCTTGTAGGGGCAAGTGCTGTTAGCGAGTAGCGCCAGTACCAGGTACTGTACTCGTTTGAGGCCGAGTCGACCTAGGGGAGGCCCCGGCACCACTTACTTTAACACGAAGCTTAAACAGTTTTGAACAGAGGATTACCGAATACGATTATACAACAACAACAACAAACAAACAACCATTCAACATACGGCGAAGATAGCGATTTTAAAGTTTAAACGTGATCGCCTGGAGAAGCCTTAGGCCTAGTAGGCCCGACCCTATCGGCCGACACTTCGGGTTTTATTAGCATATTTTAATAATTATCACAATTTAAATTATGACGATAATATACTCGCGATACGCGTTAAACGCTCTTGTTGTGTCTCAATAAACGTGGTTTAACAAGAATAGATTAAAACGTTGGACGCAGACGAGGCCTTCAAAAGCCTTGGGCCTAGTATGCCTGAATCGACCGCCGGCGCCTTCGAGTTTGATTCACATCTCTTAATAACGATACAAATCTAAATTATAACAATAAGATACTCGCGAGATGTATTTAACGCTCTTTTGTGTCTTAATACGCGTGGTTTAAATTGTTTAGATTAAAACTCGACGCAGAGACTTTCAAAAGCCTTGGGCCTAGTAGGCCCGTGCCTATCTTATTCGTATTTCTTAATAACCGTCACAATTTAAATTAAAACGATAATAACAATATACTCGCGAGACGTAATTAACGCTCTTGTTGTGTCTCAATAAACGTGGTTTAACAAGAATAGATTAAAACTTTGGACGCAGACGAGACCCTCGTAAGCCTTGGGCCTAGTAGGCCCGTACTGATCGGCGGCCTCGCGGGTTTAATCGAATCTCTTAATAACGATCACAATTTAATAAACTATGACGATAATAACAACAATAACAATATACTCGTCTTAGTAAACGTGGTGGGGTGGGGGGGGGTGTTTCATTGAAATTAAAACGTTGGACTCAGACGAGATCCTACGAAAGGCGCCCGCCTTACCTGAGGCTCTGTGCCCAAGAGACTCGGGGAGACACGAAGCACCGTCCGACCCGGAACCTTTTCACGGCTACACAGGAGGCGACGTTTCGGGCAACGACCCTGCTTCAGGACACATCGCGTCCGACCCGGAACCTTTGCACGGCTACACAGGAGGCGACGTTTCGGGCAACGACCCTGCTTCAGGACACATCGCGTCCGACCCGGAACCTTTTGACGGATCAACAGGAGGCGACGTTTCGGGCAACGAACCCTGCTGCAGGAGCCGTTGCGCAAGACGGAGACGACGTTTCGGGCAACGACCCTGCTTCAGGACACATCGCGTCCGACCCGGAACCTTTTGACGGATCAACAGGAGGCGACGTTTCGGGCAACGAACCCTGCTGCAGGAGCCGTTGCGCAAGACGGAGACGACGTTTCGGGCAACGACCCTGCTTCAGGACACATCGCGTCCGACCCGGAACCTTTTCACGGATCAACAGGAGGCGACGTTTCGGGCAACGAACCCTGCTGCAGGAGACGCTGCGCAAGACGGAGACGACGTTTCGGGCAACGACCCTGCTTCAGGACACATCGCGTCCGACCCGGAACCTTTTGATGGGCAACGAACCTGCTTCAGGGCGCATTGCACAACAGGAGGCGACGTTTCGGGCAACGGACCTGCTTCAGTGCCCTATCGTAGTACAGAACAATTCTGACGTTATTGGTCACCCCGTGTCCCTTACAGACCTCAACGTTCATTATACAAAGTCCCATCGCAAGGGAGAGAAACACAAACAAATACAGGAGACAACAAAAATTTTATCACTCAGGATTTTTTTTATTTGTGCCCGTGTTGAAACGGCTGTACGCCGTGTGGACCTGATAACTGAATGTCCCTGTACAAGAGAATACGGGGTATAAACCCGTATGGGTTGGCAGGTATGGTTGAGTGTATTGTAGAGTAGTGTATAGTGTAGTGTATAGTAGTATATAGTGTAGTGTATAGTAGTGTAGTGTATAGTAGTGTATAGTGTAGTGTATAGTGCAGTGTATATTAGTGTATAGTAGTGTATAGTGTAGTGTACAGTGTAGTTTATAGTGTAGTGTATAGTAGTGTATGGTGTAATGTATAGTAGTGTATAGTGTAGTGTATAGTAGTGTATAGTAGTGTAGTGTATACTAGTGTAGTGTATAGTAGTGTAGTGTATAGTAGTATAGTGTAGTGTATAGTAGTATAGTGTATAGTAGTGTATAGTAATGTAGTGTATAGTAGTATAGTGTAGTGTATAGTAGTATAGTGTATAGTAGTGTATAGTGTAGTGTATAGTAGTGTATAGTGTAGTGTATAGTAGTGTAGTGTATAGTAGTGTATAGTGTAGTGTATAGTAGTGTATAGTGTACTATATAGTGTAGTGTGTAGTGTATAGTGTAGTGTATAGTGTAGTGTATTGTGTAGTGTATAGTGTAGTGTATAGTGTAGTGTATAGTAGTGTATAGTGTAGTGTATAGTAGTGTATAGTGTAGTGTATAGTGTAGTGTATAGTGTAGTGTATAGTAGTGTATAGTGTAGTGTATAGTAGTGTATAGTGTAGTGTATAGTAGTGTATAGTGTAATGTATCGTATACCTCTCAACCCCTTATCAGTATCTTATCTTATCACAGACCAACTCAGACCTTATCGGTCATCCCGTGTGCCTCTTGTAAACCTCAACGTCCATCCTACAAAGTTCCGTCACAAGGGAGAGAAACACAAACAAACAGACACATTATTTTATTTGTGCCCGCATTGAAACGGCTGTACAACAATACGGGGGTGTGTACACCCCTGTAAGTGTCAACCACGGTATATTGTTGTTGTTGACATCTTGTTGCTGTTCTTAGGTGGTTTCGGTAAAGTCACGTAGGTAAAAATAAAAATTAATAAAAGTAAAATAAAAAATATAAAAAATAAAAATCACGACGTTTCGAAGTCACAACAACAACAGCAACCACCACAACAGCAACAAGATTCTAGATTTGAGGCTTTCGTGACTGCAAGGATTCATATTCTTAGGTTTTTTCGGTAAAGTCACGTAGGTAAAAATTTTAAATTAATAAAAGTAAAATAAAAAAATCACGACGTTTCGGAGGCAACACAAGCTTCCGTCTTCAGGTGGAACCGTCACAGCACGATAGCTGTATCAAGTGAGATACATATCAAGTGAGAGCTCTCACTTGATACAGCAATCGTGCTGTGACGGTTCCACCTGAAGACGGAAGCTTGTGTTGCCTCCGAAACGTCGTGATTTTATTATTTTTTTATTTTACTTTTATTAATTTTTATTTTTCACCTACGTGACTTTACCGAAAAACCCTAAGAATATGAATCCTTGCAGTCACGAAAGCTTCAAATCTAGAATCTTGTTGCTGTTGTTGTGGTTGCTGTTGTTGTTGTGACGTCTGCACATGCTTGGTGATGTCCCCGAGTGAACCACTCGGGGGCGATGTTGACCTCCGGGCAGAACTCCCCACAGTCAACCAAAGTTGCTGCCTTCCTCCACTACAGCAGAGGTCGCAAACGGGTTTTGATTCATATTCTTAGGTTTTTTCGGTAAAGTCACCATGTAGGTAAAACATTAAAATTAATAAAAGTAAAATAAAATAAAAATCACGACGTTTCGGAAGCAACACAAGCTTCCGTCTTCAAGTGGAACCGTCACAGCCCGACAGCTGTATCGAGTAAATGAGAGATTGCAGAAGATACCACTCCGAAACGTCGTGATTTTTATTTTATTTTACTTTAATTAATTTTAATGTTTTACCTACATGGTGACTTTACCGAAAAAACCTAAGAATATGAATCCTTGCAGTCACGAAAGCTTCAAATCTAGAATTAGGGTTTTGATTCCTTACCAGTACCCGTACCCGGCCGCACCAGGGTCGCAAACGGGTACCCGTACCCAGCCGTACCCGTACCCTACCCGTACCCGGTCGGGTACGGGTAGGGTACGGGTATCGGGTACCTGATTGCGACCTCTGGGATGAAGCCATGTTGCAGGCACGGGTGGGTTGATTCTAGGAACTTGAATTGTGAGAAGAGACAAGACGTTGGGAAATGAGTGACAAACGTTGACTCGCCAGTGACTCACGGCCTACCCGTACCCGGCCGCACCAGGGTCGCAAACGGGTACCCGTACCCGGCCGGGTACAGGTAGCCGGGTATCGGGTAGGGTAGGGTACGGGTATCGGGTACCTGATTGCGACCTCTGGGATGAAGCCACGTTGCAGGCGCGGGTGGGTTGATTCTAGGAACTTGAATTGTGAGAAGAGACAAGACGTTGGGAAATGAGTGACAAACGGTGACTCACCAGTGACTCACGGCCTACCCGTACCCGGCCGCACCAGGGTCGCAAACGGGAACCCGTACCCGGCCGGGTACGGGTAGCCGGGTATCGGGTAGGGTACGGGTATCGGGTACCCGGTTGCGACCTCTGCAGTGTAGCCTCGAAAGGTTGTTGGGGCAAGTGCTGTTAGCGAGGGAGCAGCGCCTATTGAAAGGGTGCGAATTTTTTTTTTTAAAACACAACACCGGTCCTGGGCCTCCCCTAGGTCGGCTCAGCCTCAAATGAGTTATACGGTGCGGTGTGTAGTGAACATCAACACTCGGGGAGAGACAAAGGCGGCCGGGCGTGGTGCTGGTAGCCACCCACCCCCTCGTGTGCCACAGCGCCGGTAGCCTTCACAGGTGCTACTCGCTAACAGCACTTGCCCGACAGTCTGTTGAGGCTACACGGGGAATCTTTGTCTATATATAGGTGCTGCTGCTACTCGCTAACAGCACTTGCCCGACAGTCTGTTGAGGCTACACGGGGGATCTTTGTCTGTGTATAGGTGCTGCTGCTACTCGCTACAAGCACTTGCCCCTACAGCCTGTTAGAGGCTACACGGGGGATCTTTGTCTGTGTATAGGTGCTGCTACTACTCGCTAACAGCACTTGCCCCTACAGCCTGTTGAGGCTACACGGGGGATCTTTGTCTGTGTATAGGTGCTGCTACTACTCGCTAACAGCACTTGCCCCTACAGCCTGTTAGAGGCTACACGGGGGATCTTTGTCTGTGTATAGGTGCTGCTACTACTCGCTAACAGCACTTGCCCGACAGTCTGTTGAGGCTACACGGGGGATCTTTGTCTGTGTATAGGTGCTGCTACTACTCGCTAACAGCACTTGCCCCGACAGTCTGTTGAGGCTACACGGGGGATATTTGTCTGTGTATAGGTGCTGCTACTACTCGCTAACAGCACTTGCCCCGACAGTCTGTTGAGGCTACACGGGGGATCTTTGTCTGTGTATAGGTGCTGCTGCTACTCGCTAACAGCACTTGCCCCGACAGTCTGTTGAGGCTACACGGGGGATCTTTGTCTGTGTATAGGTGCTGCTACTACTCGCTAACAGCACTTGCCCCTACAGCCTGTTAGAGGCTACACGGGGGATCTTTGTCTGTGTATAGGTGCTGCTACTACTCGCTAACAGCACTTGCCCGACAGTCTGTTGAGGCTACACGGGGGATCTTTGTCTGTGTATAGGTGCTGCTACTACTCGCTAACAGCACTTGCCCCGACAGTCTGTTGAGGCTACACGGGGGATATTTGTCTGTGTATAGGTGCTGCTACTACTCGCTAACAGCACTTGCCCCGACAGTATGTTGAGGCTACACGGGGGATCTTTGTCTGTGTATAGGTGCTGCTACTACTCGCTAACAGCACTTGCCCCTACAGCCTGTTAGAGGCTACACGGGGGATCTTTGCCTTTGTGCTTGGCGCGTCTCGGAGGCGACCCCAGGTGACCGGCGAATGCCAAAGGGGCCGTCCATAAATGACGTCACGCGATTTGGGACGATTTTTGACCCCCCCCCCTCAAATATGACGTCACAAAGCTCTGCCCCCCCCCCAAAAAAAAACATGCTTCAAATCGCTTTAAACTATTGTCAATGTAGTGCGTATTTAATGTGGCGTTGCACTCTGATGTTGTAGGATTGTTGTTTTAACAATTAAGTGTTGTGAGAACAATTCTATATTTTCTTGGTTCTTTCGGTAAAGTCACGTAAAATGGAAATAATAAAATAAGAAAAATATTATTTTATTGTTTTATTTTCCTTATTTTACTATTTCCATTTTACGTGACTTTACCGAAAGAACCAAGAAGATGAATCCCTGCAGTCACGAAAGCTTTAAATCGTAATTTAATTCTATATTTATTTAAAGTTGCGCATTTTGATGTGACGTCACATTTCTCACCCCCCCCCCCCCTCGTCACACATCGTCACAAATGTCTGACCCTCCCCCCCACCCTAGGTTCGTGACGTCATTTATGGAGGGCGCCTTATTAAAAAGTCTATTTCATTAAGTAGAAGGTGTTGTCTATATTTATTTAAAGTTGCACATTTTGATGTGACGTCACATTTCTACCCCCCCCCCTCTCTCGTCACACATCGTCACAAATGTCTGACCCCCCCCCCACCCCTAAGTTCGTGACGTCATTTATGGACGACCCCAAAGACCCAAAAAAAAATGAATTCCTGTAGTCACGACAGCTTTGGCGAGTTTTTCACGATACGCATTTAATATTTACCCCATTCAAACCCCCCTCTATCATGGACAAGATTGGTCACGAAAGCCCTTACAGAGCCCTCTCCAACCGTGACGTGGAACGCAAACCACGGACTCAATCAGCTCACCACCACGTCCCACATTCCATTGTGGAAAAACTCAACCACGTGTTTTGCTGCGTGAAACCCAAGAAACCTCACAATGACTCCCCCCCCCCTTTTCTCCACCCCGCCCCTCCCCCGCAATTCTGACAGCCCCTCCCCTACCCGTGATCCTGGCCCTCTGATTGGCTGGAATCTCGCGCGCGCCTAGCCCCCCTACGTCATCGGGTCGCGAGGAGACGCGGGGAGGGGGGAGATGTGAGGGGGCGGTGCCAGATTAGAAAGGGGGGGGGTGACCGGAAGTGGGTACGGGGGGGAGGGGGATGAGGGATGGCGCGGGAGGGGGGGGCGGAAGTGACGGCGGGGGATGATATAAAAAATCGAGTGCCGGATTATAAGACGCAGCGGAGGTGTCAATAAAGTTACGTGTTGAACTGTCGATAAAGTTATTACACATCTCATCCACTCACAAGCGCACTGACGACAGCCGCCACTTGGTTGGTGGTGACGTCACCACGGCCCCTGTACCAGGCTAGGTGCACACTCAACATACATTTTCTTTGTGGATATGTTAAAATTACACTATGAGATCTCTTTTACCAGTGGAAAAATATAGTAGTAGGTTTTTAAAAGGGTAAAAATCTACTACTATGTTAAAATTAATTTAAAACATTTTATTTGAACCTACCACGTGACTTTGGGGCCGTCCATAAATGACGTCACGCACCTAGGGGGGTGGGTCAGACATTTGTGACGAGGGGAGGGGGGTGAGAAATGTGACGTCACATCAAAATGCGCAACTTTAAATAAATATAGAATTAACCTAGAAATAAAGCTTTCGGTAAAGTCACGTATGTCGAAATACAATTTAAATAAATAACATAAAATTTAATTTTATTAAATAAATATAGAATTTTGATCTAAAGCTTTCGTGACTGCAGGGATTCATATTATTGGTTCTTTCGGTAAAGTCACGTAGAAGGGAAATAATAAAATAAAACAAATACAAAACAATCTTTGTATAAATATAAAACAATAAATAATACAAAGATTGTGTTATATTTGTATTATTTTATTATTTCCCTTCTACGTGACTTTACCGAAAGAACCAAGAATATAAATATAGAATTGTTATAACAACACTCCTACAACATCAGAGTGCAGCGCCACATTAAATACGCACTACAATGACAGTAGTTTAAAGCGATTTAAAGCATTTTTAAAATATTTTTGAGGGGGGGGGGGGCAGTGCTTTGTGACGTCATGTTTGAGGGGGGGTCTGACTTTTTGTGACGCCGTGTGACAACGACGGGGGGGGGGGCGGGGTCAAAAATCGTCCTAAATCGCGTGACGTCATTTATGGACGGCCCCAAAGATTACAATCCGCACGCCCGATGCTTTAAAACAAAATTCTTAGGTTTTTTATCGGTAAAGTCACGTAGGTAAAAATATTTAATTAATAAAATAAAAATAAAATAAAAATCACGACGTTTCGGAGGCAACACGATAGCTGTATCAAGTGAGAGCTCTCACTTGATGCAGCTATCGTGCTGTGACGGTTCCACCTGTATTTTATTTTTATTTTACTTTTATTAATTTGAATTTTTCACATACGTGACTTTACCGACAGAACCTAAGAATATAATAATGTTTAATTTTTATTATTTTATTATTTCCATTCTACGTGACTTTTACCGAAAGAACCAAGAAGATGAATCCCTGCAGTCACCAAAGCTTCACATCTAGAACGAAGCTGTCAGTTGGGCAGGGGGGAGGGGCCAGAAACGTGGGCGGGGGACTGGCGGGGAATGAGGGGCGGGGCTAGCGGTGGGGAAAGGGGCGGGGCTGTTGCGGGGGTGAGGGGGAGGGGCTGTCGGGGGGGGGGGCTGTCGGGGGGTGAGGGGCTGTTTGGGGGGAGTGAGGGGGAGGGGCTGTCTGGGGGGGGCGGGGCTGTTTTGGGGGTGAGGGCGAGGGGGAGGGGCCGGAAGCGTGGGCGGGGGACCGGCGGGGATGAGGGGCGGGGCTAGCTGGGCTGTTGGGGAGGGGGGGGGACTGTTGGGGGCGGGGCTGTTGGGCTGGTAGGGGCGGGGCTGTTGGGGGGAGGGGGGGTGTAACTGTTTGGGGGAGGGTGGTGTGAGGGGGAGGGGGCTGTTTTGGGGGGTGGGGGCTGGCGAGGGGGTGGGCTGTTTTGGGGGGGGTGGGGGCGGGTGGATGAGGGGGGGGGGCTGTTTTGGGGGGGGTGGGTGGGGGGAGGGGAGGGGCTGTTTTGGGGGTGGTGGGTGTATGGGGGAGAGGGCTGTTTTGGGGGGTGGGCGGCGGAGGGGGGGGGGCGGGCTGTTTTGTGTGGGGGGGTGGGGCGGGTGGATGATGAGGGGGCGGGGGCTGTTTGGGGGGGTGGGGTGACGGGAGGGCTTTTTGGGGGGGGTGGGTTAGGGGGGGTGCCTGTTTTGGGGGGGGTGGGTTAGGGGGAGGGGCTGTTTATGGGGGTGGGGTGTAGTGAGGGGGGGGGCTGTTTTGGGGGGGGGGGTGAGGGGGAGGGGGCTTTTGTTGGGGGGGTTGGTGGGTGAGGGGGAGGGCTGTTTTGGGGGGGTGGGGAGGGGATGGGGCTGTTTTTGGGGGGTGGGGGCTGGTGAGGGGGAGGGCTGTTTTGGGGGGGTGGGTGAGGGGGAGGGGCTGTTTGGGGGGTGGGGGCTGGTGATGGGGGAGGGGCTGTTTTGGGGGGGGTGGGTGAGGGGGAGGGGCTGTTTTGGGGGGTGGGGGCTGGCGAGGGGGGCGGGGCTGGCGAGGGGGGCGGGGCTTGCGAGGGGGGCGGGGCTTGCGAGGGGGGCGGGGCTTGCGGGGGTGCGCGCGAGCGGCCATTGCTCGCGGGTAGAGATCGTTACGGACCCGTGTTAGGCCTCCTCCTCCCCCCCCGTGTGTGTGTGTCTCTCTCTCACTCACACTCTCTCTCTCTCACACACACAAGCTGCCCGTCTTAACTTTGGTGCCATTATCGAAGCCGCGATTTGTTTCTAAAGGGAGACGAACGGAGGGAGAATCGTCGCGGATTGCGAGGGGTTTGGGCCTCGGGCGCGAACACTTTTTTTCTGCGATAGTTTTCGACGTCTTTTTTTTAAGTCGCTTTAAGCACAAATTCGTGTCGGTTCGCTCCCTACCCCCCCCTCCTTCTCATCATCATCATCAGCCCCTACAACGCAAGGCACGAAGACTTGGGAGGAGTGTGCGAGAGAAAATCGCGGATTAATTCCGACGAAAAGTGACTACTGAGGAGGAGGAGGAGGTGGTGGTGGGGAAAGCGAGAGGAAAATTCGTCGGAGGCGACTGACGGCAACGTAAGAACGATACAACAATCGCGTGACATCTTTGCCCTGTTACGAGAGGAACGAACGAGGGAGGAGAAGAGATAGGAAATCGAGGCCTACGCCATTTTGTGAGTACAAGCCTCTCTCTCTCCCCTCTCTCTCTCTCTTACACACTCAACACACACAACATACAACAATCGCGTCGCTTGTCAACAATCGAATAAAAAACGCCGCAGGTTTCTCTTCAGGATCGACTAGTTAACCAAACTCGGGGATGTTTTGTTAAGAAATAA